TTCAATTTCTTTTAAAAATAATTGAAATATGGAAAAAAGTTCAGAACGGTCTTTTATTAAAAACAACCAAGTTATCCTTGAATAGTCATCAACAAAGGTAACAAAATAAGAAAAACCTGATTGACTAGGTTGACGAGTAGGACCCCAAATGTCCGTATGCACCAATTCAAATAAAGAAGACCGACGATTAACAATACGAGGAGGAAAAGACACTCTATGGTGCTTCCCCAACTGACACGACTCACAATTTAAAGTAAACACCGACTCAAGGAAAGGTAATACAAACTTCAAGTATCGCAACGAGGGATGACCTAACCGATAATGCCACTGGTATACAGACATCTGGGAATGTAAAGCAACAGCACTAGTGGAAGGTGTGCAATCCAGATAGTATAAGCCATTTCTGTTAGTGCCCCCACCAATCGTCTTCTTCGTGTTGAGGTCCTAAAAGACACAAAACGAAGGATAAAATGTGACAAAACAATTGAGTGCCTGAGTCAGTTTACTGACAGATAATAAATTAAAAGGAAATTTTGGGACCAATTGCACAGAAGATAAAGAAATGGATGGGGTTAGTTTTATTGTTCCCTGGCCAATAATGGAACATGGTCTACCATCAGCCAAAGTAACAAAAGAGGGGAAACGAGACTTCTGAAAGGTAGAAAATAGAGATTCATCACCTGTGAGATGGGTAGACGCCCCAGAGTCAATAACCCAAGGGGAGGCTTAAGTCTGTAAATCGGACAAGCATGCGATATTACCTGATTGCGCAAAGTTAACCATATCAGTAGAGTGGGGATGTGTCCGGTTAACCAAGGCACTAAACTCAGCTCGGGAGAGTATCACACTGTCACTAGTAGGTGCAGATGATGGCAATACAGAGTTTGGAGCAGATGGGTGATGGGCGTCAGGAGGGGGATGAGACCCAGCACTATCAGAAGAAGCCACTACTTGATTTGCCCATGCTGGTTTCCCATGGAGAGCCCAACAATGCTCAACAGAGTGGTTAGTACCCCTACAGTGGCTGCAGTAGCGAGTATCAGTACGTCCAAGACCACGGCGACTGCGACCTCTATCACGGCCACCACCACCACCACGAGAACCACTCGAAGTTCCTCCATACCCTCTGTTGTTATTAGGAGCATCACGGCCTTTAGAGGACTGTGGAGAGATAGAATGAACCATCATAGCTGAATTTTCTTTCACTGTGGACGTCCCATGTGATTGTTCTGAAACACGAAGTAATCTGGCATAAATGTTACCCAGAGATGGGAGTCCTCCATCACCAGCAAGTATGTGATCCCGAATATTTTGAAGGCTAGGGTGCAAACCAGCAAGAAAAATAGAAACTGAAAATTCCTCACGTTGTCTCTTGAGAATGTCAAGAGCAGTAGTTAAGGGATGGTACTGATTCACCTCATCTAGCAAGTTTTTGAAAGTACTGTAATACTCACTGATGCCTTAAGCAGAGGGATCAGATTGACAAGAATGGAACATCTTCTCATATAGGCAGTATATGCGAGAGACATTTGTGTCCATAGAGTAGGTTTCTTTAACTGCATCCCATATTCCCTTTGCAGTGGTGAGAAACATAAAAGTAAATGCAATAGTAGGTTCCATACTATTCCACAACCAGGACATAACCATATAGTTATCAGCTTCCCAATCATCATATGTTGTGGATGTTTGAGGTGGAGGAGCTTGTGTAATAAACTTCAGCTTTCGTCGGGCGCCTAAATATGTCTTCACTGCTTGAGCCCAAAGTAAGTAATTTGAATTACTCAATTTCATAGTTGTAATTTGCAGCCCGACATGATCAACATGTGTTGCAGGAGTTTTATTTTCAGTAGACTCAGAAGAAACAGTTGAAGAATCCAACTCCATGTCTCAAATGTATATGTAAACTGACCAGAGAAGAAAAAAAAAACTTATCTGGCCTAAGTTGAAGTCACTGCTGCCAAATCTGTCCCGAGAGGAACAGAAGAAAAAAAATAGAAGAAACTGCCGGAACAGGAAGAACGGGTCGGATCTGAGCCGAATCTGAAAAAGGGTCGGATCTGAGCCGAATCTGAAAACAGTTCGGATCTGGATCGGATCTATAACAGGTTGCCGGATCTGGGTCGGATCTGGACCGGATCTGAAAAAACGGGTTTAGGTGAACCTGGATCGAGATAGCCTTGCGCCTGCAACCAAACACTACCCTTCTCCTTCTCAATCAATGCCGGCGAGAGCTAAAACCTGCTGCCGTCAACAACAAGATCCTCACCAACACAAGGCGAAGCCCCAACCACAAATCTCGACTGCAGCAAGGAACCACACTCACGATAGCCACCGGCGTCAGTGAACAGCGAACGGCGAAGTCGTCCAACAGAGGCCGGATCGACGATGAACAACGATCCCTTCACGAGCTAGTACACACCCTAGCACCGCGGTAACGACTTCAATAGCCGGATCTACGCTCTGATACCATGTCAGTTTTATAGATTAGAGAGAGAGAGAGAAAGGATGAAAGAGGCGCAGCCCTCACTGTTTCTCATTTTCATATATCTCAAACCCTTACACATAGTACAGCATATATATATACAATACAAGAAAGGCCTATTTACATAATGGCCACAAATCCTATGTCTAATTACAATATGATCCCAACATAAATACCTATTTACATATAACTATTCTAACAGTAAGCAATGGTGAAAGTGCTGTTTGGATTGTCCAATTAAATGCCTGATTTTGTTAGATACACCTTATTATTTAAATTGGATGTGTTTAGGGTTATATTTTGCCCCCCTCCCTCTCTTTTTTCAGAGTATTGGGCTATTTTCAAGTCGTGGTACTTCTGCTGGTGAGGGTAGTGTTTGGGCATATATAATAAAAAAGTTCATTTTGGATTTTAGGGGTGAATTGGCTATATACTTATCTTTCAGCATTATTTGCATGAAGGAAGGGAATTTGACATTAAATAAAGAGAAGAAGGTGATTCTATTAAAATTTTATTTTTATACTCTTGTTATTATATAAAGTTGTTATTATAATAATAATTTTTTGCCCTTCCCCTCTTACCAGTGTCCATCCCGGGAAGGTTTCATAACTTATCCAAGCCTCCATCCTTATTATTATTATATTTAGCAGGATGCTCCTTGATCATTTTTAAAGGAAATGTACAAGCTGTCACACAAATTTGACGTTACTTGACTTTTCTAAATCTTAGATAGGTTTTTTTTTTTTTTTTTTTTTTTTTTTTCAATTTCTGTGACATTGTGAATGTGCTGCCCTTCCATCCATCTAGTGCACAATGGACAAATTGGTACATGGCTGGTTTGTTTGATAAACAGAAAGAATAATTTGGAAAAACTTTGTAAAGTTTTCTATTATACTCTCTCTCTCTCTCTCACACACACACACGTACACACTACCCTTTCTCTAATATAATTTTGTTGCATTGAATGTTTTAATTGAAGAATCTCATAAATTATAGAAACTTTAGTTTTCTTTATTAACATGTCCTTGCGTTCTCAGTGTGGTGTGATCATGTTCGTTATTTTGGGTGGAAAGGGTGGTTGGTTTCGCTTTAGGGGCTGATTTGTTTTAGTATCTTGAGAGCATTAGGGAATTTAGTTATATCTGAAGTTGGGTCAGGTTAATGGGTTGAGTTCTATTTGTTGCGTTGTGCTAGTTGTGTCAGCATTAAGCCCAAGCATTTAAGGCTCTAGATTTGCTCTCAATAACCCACTCTGCGGACCAAGTTTATTTGAAGAGTCTATGCATCCCTTACTGGAGGGTTCAAGGAGGGTTTTTGTTGGAGAATAAAATTTCAGATAGGTATATCTCTGCTTCCTCTTTTTCTTAGGTCCTTATCTTGAGCCATATAACTCACAGATTTCAAGCATGGTTCGTATATCTCCGCTAGAAAATCTGATTTGCAAGTTTTTGTCCTTTGATCTTGTGAGTTTTTAGTGCACCAACACTAGTAGTAACCTCTGGGGATATATAAGTAAAATTTTTCCCCTAAGTTTTCTGTATTATCATGTTGACTGTGCACTGGATCCATGTCCACTGTAACAGAATTTTAAAAAATTTGTCCATTGTCAGTTATGTTGGCAAAGAAATATGCCTCTATAGGTCTAGGATGATAATACACAATAACTATTATTTTGTTTGCAACATATGCACCTAGTTGATGCAGAACCACAAGGAGATGATTTATGAAGAGTTAGATAATGAGACAAAGGAATGCATGAAGATATTTTCAATGCCATAGACTCTTGTTGATTTTCCCAAGGATATGAAAACGAAACTTGTGAGTTGTGAGCGAGTTTTGTCCAACAAGAGGTGATTGATGCACCTTACCTGATGCTGCCCCTCTGCGATGACTTAAATTAGTTATCTTTCTAAATGATATTTCTGTATTTTTAATTTGTTGGGACTCCTAAGGGCTTTATTAGTTGAATTTTGAGTGAAGTTACTATTTTGGTTAGAATTAGTTTTAGAATGTATCTGAGTTTTAAGGGTTTCCTTAAGCCCATAAACATGGCATTTTTGCTGCCAAATGAGAAAGTCCCTATTACTGCATGCAGTTGCAAACAATATTTGGAAGAGTTGGAACTCTCTCTCTCTCTCTCTCTCTCTCTTATCTACTTATCTCTTCATAATTAAACACATGAAGCTGCTTTTGCTCCCTCTCCCTTTTCTCTTAACATGTCTTTTTTCTCCCTCTTTTTCTCTTATGGATGAATATAATTATATAAGTTAAATGGAACTTATTTTTCGGTAAATAAGTGAAGTGGAATCTATTGACCTTTAGCACAATGCATCATGATGTTCTTATGTATTTTTATAACAATTTCGCTGTGCAATTTATTGATCTGGAAAGCATTCAAAAGTTTAGTTTTGTGATTGCACCTGAATATGTACTTGTCACATAATCATGTTGTGCTTTCGTTGTAGAAATTAACTTTGTATGTGCTTCATAGATTCTAACTTGTAATTTGTTGATGAAGCTTTCAGCCATTTGTGAAACAGCCTTCCATTATCAGGACAAAAGTCGTCCTATTGATTACGTGGTTACTGTTGCATCAAATATGAAGGTAATTCTAATAAAATCTGTGCATTTGTGCAAAAATATGAAGCTATCTTAATTTTTATTATTTAAGCAACTGCTACAGTAACTACTTCCAAGGAACATGTCAGGAAAGGGGCTTTCTGCAAAGAGTAGAGCTTATACCAGCCAACAGAGAGTTCTGCTAGTTTTATTGATATCATGTTTTTATTGTTTATACTTTGTCTGGGATGTAGCCAATGCAAAAGGCTATTTAGGAGCCATTTTGTGATAGAATTCTTGTTGTTTTTGCATCCTCATACTGTAGTTTCTTAACTTATTAGACCAGTTCTAGGAACAGATAACTGCTGTTTGTTTTACAATTATATTTGTTGATGGCTTTTATTAATGATCATTTAAAATTATTTTTCAGCTTTATCCCCCAAAAGATTGGCTGGTGAGATCATCCTTGCCATCTAAATTCAACCCAGACATAATCCAGTCGTTACTAAATGAGCTTACCCAAGACAGTGTCAGGTAATTCAATTATATTCGGCTATGCTGTAACTTATTATGTACCTAGAATGAGAAAGACACATGCGCCATTTGGGATACGCCATTTTCTTTGTATATTGCTTCTGCTCATGCCCGATTTCAAGGATATTGGATTTTGTTTTTAATTCATATTTGGTTTATCCTGGAAATAATAAAGTGGTTCAACATAAGCAGGGGGGTGTGCTCAAGAAGCAGCCAGCTAGCTGCCCCCTTCCCTTTGTTCACTGTGCGAACAAGGTCACATACAAGATCACTATGGACTGTAGGAAAAATGTGCAGTAGGGTTGCACTTAAAGTTCTGGACACAATTCCAGCTACGCCCACGTATCCTAAAATTTTGAGATTCGACATTAGACACACCGACACTCAATACACGTACCCGACTTCTTGTAACATGTAGGTTAGATGGCCCTAATGTAGCCCGACCCGAGCTTTGGGTGGGTTGGGCCAGTGTTTATGGCCATACAAACTTGATATGTTCTTTTATGACAAGTATTTTATTACAGGTTGGAAGGTGAGTTTTAACTATGAATCAAATATGAGCATGGAATTGCTTGCCATAGTTTTAAATAGTTATGATTTAACTAATCTGATTATTCAAACATCACAACATGCTGAAGACAAGCCAGAACCTAGTGTATAACATACTCAAATCTCTTGGCTCCATTCTTCCTTTTTTTTTGGATTACAGGGAAACAGCCTCTCCGCATGCGGAGGTAAGGCTGTGTACGTCAAAACCCCCCCCCCCCCCCCCCCCCCCCCCCCCCCCCCCCCCCCCCCCCCCCCCCCCCACCCCCCCCCCCCCAGACCCCGCAATGGCGGGATCCTTGTGCATTGGATTAAGACTCAACTAGTTTGATATCAGATTCACACCTAATATCATTTATATTCATATGTTTCTGAATTTATATATGTCCAATTTATTCATTTATTTTGATTTATGCATTTCGGGTCAGGACTCTTTTGTTAGATCTGTGGGTTTATGGTTGTTAAGTTGTAATATAAGCAATGGAATTCAATAGAGAAAAAAAGGGTAAAATCATTTCATGATCGATTTTCAGATAGTTTCGGCTTCAGTTGGAAGTCGGTTTGGGTTGGTTTTGGGATGAATTCTAACCTGGTGTAACCCACCCGAGTTGCAGCCCTACCAAGCCCATCCCAGTGCCACCCTGAAAAGGTTAGTGTTAATATTGTGAGGTTAGATGATCATTTAATCACATATTGCTTTCATTCAGGATTCAGTACTTCTGTCCACTATATTTTTCCCCCCTGAATGTCCACTAATTATTTTGAGGGGTGTGTGTTTTTTTGTTTTTGTTTATCACTGTTCTATTGGAAGCTGATGATTGCCACTTCATACATTTGTAGACTAGACAACTACGTCCAATTCTTGTCCAACACTTGTTTGGACACTTTCAAGAGCATCAACTTTATTACTTAAAGTAAATGCAGAAGTACAAGTGAATAATGCCTTTTTGTTGTTGAAGTACAAGTGAATTAGTTCGGATACTTTCAAGAGTGTTAATTTTTTGAATAAATGAATACTATTTGACTTACCAATGTTATTTTTAACTTCTATGATTCTTTTTATGCTTGGGACTGCATACAAACATATACATACATGCATCTAAGTACCGATTAATATTGATAGACAGTATAGTAATTTTACTGGGGCATATATAGTCCTGTGCTTACGTCCATATTTTAGGGAGGTGTGTCTGAATTCCATGTCCATGTGGAAACCAGAAACTTCTATTCACGTTGGTAATTCGTAGTTTAAAAGTCTCCAGTTTGCACATTTGGATTGCTTTTTTAATATCTGATTATAAAAGTTATTAATGTGCTTTTATTGTTTTCTTTCGTCTTAGACATGTTCATATTTATATCCAAATGAGCTCTGTTCAACAGGATTTTTTGGGAGTCAACAAAGTTTGAAGGACATACTGACATGACTGAGCCATGGTATGGAACTGCATATTCCATTGAGAGAATAACTGCTTCCATGATTCAGGTTTGTTGTAGCTTGTTACTTGTGATATGAAATGTCTGTTTGCTTTCTCATGGGCTTAGTTTTAAATGAGGACAGACAGTTCTGAAAGAGAAACTTGATGATTCTGTAAAATATATGGATTTGTTTGCAGCAATGGATAGAAGCAGCTCCTGATGAACATCTACATCTACCAGCTCCCAATGTGTTCATTCCCACCGATTTGTCTCTTAAGAATGTTCTTGAGAAGGTATGCTTAGTGTTATAATTTAATTCAATGTAATTACATTTTTTAATCCTCAAGTTTTTTATACGCTTGACCTTTGAAACAGGCAAAACTTCCTCATCTTTTAAGGAAATCATCCTATTCAAGATTGTGGTACAAGCCTGATACAACATTTTCCACTCCCAAGGCATATGTTAAGATAGATTTCAACTGTCCACATGCCGGAAACTCCCCTGAGGCAGTAGTTCTTACTGACATATATACACGTTTGTTGATGGATTATTTGAATGAATATGGTAAGCCGTTGAGGGTAACTAGAATGGAAAATAAAATCATTCTTCTTTGTTTTGTGACCTTCTTTGATACAACAGTGTTTAGGTTTGAATTTAGGACTTTGCTTTGATACCATGTTAACCACTATCTACTCTAAAAGTTTAAGGTGTTAGAGTGGGTATAACTTTAATATTAAATCCTCTAAATAGCCTTCATCTGTTACCATATCAATCTATGATATAAAATTTGCAGGTATGTTACTTATTTGGGTATCTTTGTTGAAAATTTTGTTTCCGTGTCAAAAGTCAAATCATAAAGAAGTGATTATTTTATTTTGCTTCTTTCAGCTTATTATGCTCAGATTGCTGGTCTTTATTATGGAATAAATAACACTGATAACGGTTTTCAGGTATTACAATTTCTTCTCTTAGTATCTGAATTCTGTGTGATGATTCCTAGATTTGATAGAATATTATATGTGTGTGTGTGTGTGTGTGTGTGTTTTTTCTTTCTTTCTTTCTGGGTAATTATCTTTGAGCTTTTATGGTTTCATCATTTTTCATTTCTCCTGGGAGTTTGCTTGATGGGTTGACACTACAAGCATTGAGAATTTTGAAACCAAAATGTCAAGTATTACTCTCTCTATCCTATTATTTGTTCATACTAGGAATTGTGTTCTTCAAGTGTACATGCATTAAATGCATTCACACTTTAGTGGTAATTGGAACTTTCCAAACCTAACGATCTATATATTCTAGTTAAGACCTTCACTTCAATGTAAAAGGGTAAATACGGATTTTTACGAAAAATACTAATAAAAATTACATTAAAATATGGTTGGACTTTTCTTGACATCTATTGTGGGATATATGGATAAATAATATGGGACGGAGGGAGTACAAGAAGAGCTCCTCATTTTGTAAGTTGAATTATTTTTTAGAATTTTGAAGAAGTTCAAATCCATGTGTGGCTGCGGCATGCATGTTGGGCTTTCAATTTTTATATGCATTTTGATTTACATTGTCATTTGTATGTGTAGTTAGTAGGCATTTACTAATATATGCAAACATTTTATACAAATTTTGAGAATTTATGTATCAAATATTGTCAACATCATCATCCTTGCCTTTATCTGGTACAAACAAGGTCGGCCACATGAATTCTCTTTTTCCACTCTTTTCTATCATAAATTACATCCTCTACTAGATTTAATTTATAAAGTCATTTCTTATTAGAGGCAGCACTTGCTCCTCGATCGAAAACTTTTTTGTTCTATTGGACTCTGTTGGTCCATAGGTTTGGCTTTTGCTCTTTCGTTTTTGTGTATTAGGGACGCGTTCCCCTTTTGAACATCTTTCTAATATATTTTTACTTATAAAAAAAAAAAGTCATTTCTTATCACTTCATTCCATGTATCAATTATTTTATATCCAACAAATATGTAATTTTTATTTAATATATAAAATGTATTTAATGAAATATAAATTATAGTGAAATTCATTTCAAATCTAAGTTAAATGTAATTTATGTTGAATTTAATGCTATGTTTGGTTGGAGGGAAGGATTAACGAGGGATGGATGAATCTTTTCGTGTTTGGTTGGAGGGAAGGGAAGAGAGGGAGGAAGCAAGGAGGGATGAAGCATTCCTCCTTTCTTCATGTTTTTCTATCGGCCCATTTTCTTTTTTGGGCCGCGCGGGGGGGGGGGGGGGGGGGGGGGGGGGGGAGGGTGGGGGAGAAAATGAATAACTACCTACAAATATAAAATTTCCAGTTTTAACCTTTTTCAAACAAATTTAAATGGATGTCTACCTTTTATTATTTTATAAGTGATGGTATATTAGTAAAAAATATATAAAAACTCTCTCTCCCTTCCTTCCAACCAAACAAAAAAAGGTATTACCCCGTCCATTCTGTCTATTATTCATTCCATTCAACCAAACAAAAAATGGGGGAGGCGCCTTCCCTTCCCTCGGGATTCCTCATCCATCCCTTCAACCAAACGAAGCATAAGAGATAATCAAATCAAGAGTAAAGTACAAGAAGAAAAAGAAAAAGAGAAGAAAGAGGATGAGAGAAAAGGAGAGAGAGATGGGGAAAGTGAGAAAGAATGAAAGAATACTTTCATCCTTCCACCACATTCTATTTATACTAACAAGTTTTGGAAATTACACATAAGCCCCAATATTATATAAGTAATAACAAATAAGCTACTGACAACACTCCCCGTCAAGTTGGTGTGAAGATATCTATAATGCGTAGCTTGACTAACATATTTTGCTCACACCCTTAGTCAAAACATCAGCAATCTGATTGTGTGTGTTGATGTATGGAGTACAAATCAGCCCAAGACAAAGTTTTTCCTTGATGAAGTGTTGATCGACTTCAATGTCTTTGTCCTGTCATGTTGAACTGGATTGTGGGCAATGCTAATAGCAACCTAGTTGTCACAATACAACTTCGTAAATGGCAAATAGGATAACCCAACTCACCCAACATCGTTCGTAGCCGTAACAACTCACAAACTCTATGTGCCATGGATCTAAACTCAGCCTCTGCACTAAATCTAGCTATTACAGGTTAGGTCTTGCTTCGCCATGAAACAAGATTACCTCCCATAAATGTGCAATATACTGAAGTAGATTGTCGATCTGTCACAAACCTTACCCAATCAGCATCATTATAAGCCAACACGCAAGTGGCCATGACGGCCAAACAGTATCCCCTTAACAAGTGAACCCTTGAGGTAACAAAGAACATGATGAGCTTCCTGAAGGTGAGGTGTACGTGGAGCATGCATAAACTGACTAATCACACTAATAGCGTAGGCAATATCCAGGTGCATGAGAGATAGGTAAATCAGTCTCCCAACCAATCGTTGAAATCTTCCCACATCATTTAATGGGTCCCCATCTACATCATTAAGCCTATGGTTCTACTCAATGGGTTTATCAATAGCTCTAGCTCCAAGCCTGCCTGTTTCAGCCAACAAATCTAACACATACTTCTGTTGAGAAATGAACACCCCTTTCTTCGATCTGCATACCTCGATGCTAAGAAAGTATCTTAATGATTCGAGGTCTTTAACCTTGAACTCGAACTCTATCCCCAATAATGACTTCATTCAATGAATCTCTTCTGGATCATTTCCAGTGATAACAATATCATCAACATATACAATAAGGGCAGTGGTGCGGTCTTGGTGCTTCTTGATGCAGAGAGTATGATCTGTCTGACTCTGTGTGTACCCTACTCTTTTCATAGTAGTGCTGAACCTCTCAAACCAAGTACGTGGCAACTACTTTAAACCCATACAAGGCTTTATTTAGCTTGCACACTAAATTCTAACCATTGACAAGCTTAAATCCTGATGGCATAGTCATATACACCTCTTTCTGCAAGTCACCATAAAGGAAAGCATTCTTTACATCCAGCTGATGTAAAGGCCAATTCAAATTAGCTATTGACAAAAGGACACGTATAGAGTTCATTTTGGCAACTGGAGCAAATGTTACCGGATAATCAATCCCATAGGTCTGAGCGAAGCCTTTTGCAACTAACCGGGCTTTATATCTCTCAATTGTTCCGTCTACATGATACTTTATTGTGTAGACCCATTTGCAGCCTACTGGTTTCTTACCCCTAGGTAATGGAACAATATCCGAAGTACCATTCTTCTCAAGGGCCTTCATCTCTTCATGCATGGCTTCCTTCAATGGAGTTTGACTGAGAGCATCTAAAACACTAGAAGGAACATATACAGAAGAGATACAGGAACTGAAAGCAATATATGTTGGAGATGAAGCATCATAGGATACAAACTGAGTTATGGGATGTTTTGTACAACTAAAAACACCCTTACGATAGGCAATAGAGACATTAAGATCAACAAGAATGCAATTGGGAAAAGAATCAGGAGTATCAATGTCAACTGAGGAATTACCTGGATCGAAAGAGACTTCTTGGTCCTAGGGTGAGTCAATGACTTGTTTTGCCCTCCTAGTGTAGACAATTGGTTGTTTTCCTTGCTGCAAATCATTAGTGTTAGGAGGACTAGACACGGGCACCTGAGTAAAAAGCTCCTTTTGAATGGGATCATGCAAAGGAAGGGGGCATTCTCTCTAAATGGACGACAGATTCTCTATCCATATAGTAGTCTCCCCCTGTAGAGAATCCCAAGAGGTGGAAAAAAAAGGGATCGGACTCAAAGAATGTAAACATCCATGGAGACAAAGCGACGACGAGTGGTAGGGTTATAACACCGTTACCCTTTTCTGAGTGGCGGAGTATCCAAGAAAGATACATCGGATTGCCTTAGGGTCCATTTTGTCTTTGCGATGATGAATGTGAACATAACAAACACAACCAAACACTTTCCGATGGACAGTAAACAAGGCAGTGTGATGGTGTAAGACAGAAAAGGGGGATTAATATCCAAGAACCTTGGAAAACATGTGATCGATAAGGTTGTTAGGGTTGCATCAACCCAATAACTTTTAGGCACTCCTATCCCAATTAGAAGAGAATGGGTCACCTCTGTAATACAACGGTGTTTTCTTTCAGCTACACCGTTCAGTTGTGGTGTATTGATACAAGAGGTTTGATGAGCGATCCCGTTATCAGCAAAAAAGTAGGCAAGACCACCATACATAAACTCTCCTCCATTATCAGATAAGGTTTTGAGAGGACAACCAAACTGAGTACATACCATCTTATGAAAGGTTTTAAAAATGGAATGAACTTCATCTTTGGTTTTCATAAGATAAAGCCAAGTATATCGACTAAAGTCATCAACAAACACAACAAAGTAACGAAAACCAAGTAACGAAGTAGTAGATTCAGAACCCTACACATCATAATGAACAAGCTGCAAAGGAGTTGTACTTTTATTAATACTAGTAGGACAAGAAACACGACACTGTTTGGCAAGAATGCGTGTTTCACAATTTAACTCAAAAGATTCAACAGAAGCAAATTGGGGAAGCACTTGCTTCAAAACAGGATGAGGTAAATGACCTAGTCTATTATGCCATCGCATTAACAGATCTATATTGACATTACTATTCGTAACACTGATTGATTTGCAACATAATAAGAAGTTGGCCTTACGTTCAGCAAATACAAGCCCACGTCCTCATGTCCACTTACAATTGTCTTCCCCGTGTCCAAGTCCTAAAACACATAGTGAGATGGAAAAAAAGGTTACACTACAATTCAAGCCTTTTGTAATGTGACTGACTGAAAGAAGGTTATTGGTAAACTTTGGGACATGAAGAACAGAGGGTATGGTGAGATTAGGAGAGGCAGGAATAATGGCATTCCCCGCAATGGAGGTGAAGGTGCCATCAACCACTCTAACCTTATCCTTACCATAACATAAACTGTATGGAAAAAAATCAGATGTCATACA